TGTTTTACTAAGCTCCAAAACACAACTTTCAGTTTAATACACAGCTGAACAACCTGCATTTTTAGATAAACATCACTCAAATTTGTAGAAAGCTTATTCTACTTGTTATTTAAGTGCTTTCTTGTGTCTGTCCCCCTGTTAAGGCAAAAATGTTCTCACCATGTCACAGAATTACTATTGTATTTGACTGTGTATCCTTATAAGGAGCAGCAGAGTCTGATCTAATCTTGTAAGTCCCCTTTTAAAAAAGAGGGAGCTCCTTAGTGTCAGACATGCTCCTGTAAATTCTGTGAATGTTAGTCACAGAAACGATGACAAAACGAGTGGATCTTATAAACTAGGTAAAGTCCTGTACTGCTATTATATTACATTCTGAGGAAGAGTTTAAAATCTTTGAAGTGTCTGTCTTAAACAAAGCCTTCAGGGTGTTTTAGAGTGTACATGCAGGACAAAATTTTTTGTGTTTTGTTGTTTAGTGAGTTCTTTGTTGTGGTCCTGTTTTTTTTTTTACTGGTGGTTCTTCAGGTGTCCCTCTTTCGACATTTGCTTTTCCCTTTTAAAGCATGTCTCTGTGAACTACTTGGTAATCTTATGTATTTCTTTGACATACCAAATATAATTGTTAATGTCAACAAACGGTAGAAATATCTTCCCTTGTATATGTACTTTGCAAACTGTGTTCATTTTGTTGTAATAAATCTGTGAAGCTCTAATAATAAATTAACTCAACTACCTTTTTCACCTCGCAGGGTTCTCAATGTTTTCCGTCAGTGGGTTGAACATCATTTCTACGACTTTGAGAACGACGCAGAGCTTAGAAGTCGACTAGAAGAATACTTCACCACCAAAATTCAACTGCGAGGTCAGTCACAAACACAAACGGCTGCTTCCATAAATAAACATTTGACACAACATGGGAAAAGCCGTCCTACAGCTGAACTTTGCAATATTTCCAGCGTTTATCTATCAAAGCTACGTCCAAAAGGGTGCTTATTGAGCCACCTCTGATGCGTAAATTGCAAATATACAGCAAGCAATGTTATTTTATCCTCGTGTGCCATATATTGGTACGTCAAAATCCTACGGCGACCATATACGACAAGGTTCGATATCATGTCCTGGGTTCGATTGCAACCCATGGCTCTTCCCCTGCTCTCTCTACCCTTTTTGCTGTCTGAAACATGTTCACTGTCCAATCAAAGAAGGCAAAAATGCCCCAAATGCCCCAAAAAATAATGTTTTGTTAAAAAAAAAAAATCTAATTGCTGTTCATAAGCTCTTGTCCTAAGTTGAGGTAAATTTTGGTAAAATCTCATTTTGAATATGATATTCTGAAATTACATCCTCCTGTTAAATTATCTTGTCACCTCTTGCATTTTTAGTTATTTTTGTGTGCGTATAAAAATATTAACCTATATCCATATGCAGGAAAAGAAAGGGTTCAGACACTATATTGCAGCTATAAATAATTTGTCTGTACAGGATCATTATCAGGCAAACTGCTGCCTTTGCTGACTTTCTTTTCCTGTCTTCTGACTTAAAATATAGTCTTTTTGTTTGCCTTAAAAAGACCACATCACTAATGTGTACAGATTTGTCCAACTACTGTCTGTTTGGATCTGAGCAAAGCCTCGGTGGGCTTCTTGATGTAGTCTCTAGTATAGTTTTACCTGTGAAACATGAGTACAGTGACACACCAGTGGTTAATGGATGATTGTTTTTAATGTATGTATTTATTTATTTCAGGCAAGTCCATGAGAAAGTGGGTGGAGTCCATCAATAAGATCATCAGGAGAAAGATGCAGCCTCAGACAAACGGCGTCAGTCCCAGCATCACATTTGAGAGCTCGCCTCCTCCCATCGAGTGGCACATCTGCAGAAGCGGCCAACTGGAGTTGTTTGACCTCATGACCCTTCACCCCATAGAGATTGCACGTCAGCTGACACTGATCGAGTCTGAGCTGTACAGGTCAGTCACTCATAGGCATAGAAGTGGAAGGTTGAAGTCAGAAAATACGTGTAGCAATCGGCTTCTTTACATAAAGAAATAAAATTCTGCTTCCACAGAGCTGTTCGGCCCTCCGAGCTGGTCGGCAGCGTCTGGACCAAAGAGGACAAAGAGAAGCACTCTCCAAACTTGCTCCGCATGATTCGCCACACTACCAACCTTACTCTGTGGTTCGAGAAGTGAGTCACTTTGCTTATAAGAAAATCCGCCGTTAATTTTTCAGGTCCCGTTTCCTCTAACGATGTTTCGTGGATGTGTTTGCGTGTTTCAGGTGTATAGTGGAGACAATGAACCTGGAAGAGAGGGTGGCGGTGTTCACACGGGTCATAGAGATTCTGCAGGTTTTCCAGGAGCTCAATAACTTCAACGGTGTGCTGGAGGTGCTCAGCGCTATCAACTCTGTTGCAGTCTACAGACTCGATCACACCTATGAGGTGAGTGAGATATGAGGAGAAAAACAGGACTACACAAATTAAAGCAGAAGTCGTTTGCTTCAGAGGAGCCAGGCTTTTTCCTTTTTTTAAGTGGTCTTAAGTGAAAATGAGTGAAAGCCTGGGGAATCGTTCAAGGGATGAACCAGTGCTATGTCAGCACATTGTGGACAATTTAGCATAAAAATTCTAAAGATTACAAAGTTTGACAAGGATAAAATAATATTTTTGCTCCAACAAAATGATTTCCAAACAGATATCAGCCAATAACTCGGCATATCTTGGCATCTCGGTACTGTGTACTTCCAAAAAAATAAAATGTCTAGGGAACTGAACAAGTGGAGAAGGGGAGAAGAAAAGCATCTGCTGATGATGATGATGTATGCTAAATTACACCAGAACTGGACTGAGAATCAGTAGCAGCAGGTCTGTTGGAGTGATGAATCCATCTTTGACTTGTTTGGTTGAAATCAGAGGTCAAGAAAGTAACAACAGTGTCTGCAGCCAGCCTTTAAAACACAGTGGAGGAGAACTTGACTAAGAAATATTGATGTTCTAGCTTGTTAAAAACTCTGTTTGCCTTTTATACACAGTCTTGCCAGGTGTTTGCATGTGTTTCAATAAATTCCTTTGCCTTTTTTTTCTAATAGCAAAGTAGGAAAAACAAAAATGAGGGAGGGCTCAAGGCCTTTGCACATTTCTGTGTTTGTGTGTCTACATGCAATGTTTGGCGTTGATTTTGGCATTTACGCTGTAAGGCTGAAGTGGTGATCAGACTACAGTCTGAGTTCTTCTCCCTCACCTCCGCAGGCAGTACCAGAGAGGAAAAGGAAGATCCTGGAAGAGGCGGCAGAACTGAGCAAGGACCATTTTAAGAAATACTTGGCTAAACTCAAGTCGATAAACCCACCCTGTGTGCCTTTCTTTGGTAAGTCTTCTACAGTCTTCTGACTGTGCTAGTGAAGGATGACAGGACAAAAAAAATGTTGACTTAAAGTAGTTGTTGTGTCTGGGTCCTGGCTGTGCTGTGAGTCACCATTATTTATCAGAAAACAATTCAATCTTTTGTTTGTCCTGGGAGTTGTTTTTATAATAGTAAATTGACTTAACAAGTGAGAAAGTACTGAACAAATAAGCACTTCAAGCTCTACTCACATTTTTTGTTTTTTGGTCCTCAGGTATCTATTTAACCAACATACTGAAGACGGAGGAAGGCAACCCAGACTTCCTGAAACGCCATGGGAAGGATCTGATCAACTTCAGCAAGAGGAGGAAAGTGGCGGAAATCACAGGAGAGATCCAGCAGTATCAGAACCAACCCTACTGTCTGAAAGTGGAGCCCGAGATGAGGGTGAGCGCTCGCCTTTCCAGAATTGTCTTTGAGCTTGTCTTAACTGTGCCCAGTACCCGAGTTCTGACTAATGATTGTGTTGCACAGAAATTTTTCGAGAACCTGAACCCAATGGGTAACCTGAGCGAGAAGGAGTTTACTGACTACCTGTTCAGAAAGTCTCTGGAAATAGAGCCTCGGAATTGCAGGCAGCCTCCTCGATTTGTGAGTATTTATAGTTTAGTGAAGTTTTTACTGCTCTTATACAAGTTCCAGTTCAGTTGCGGATTGGAAAGGGCAGGTTGGATTATTTAAATTGGATCTCAGTAAGTTCAATCAATATAAGATCAATCCCATCCTGAGCAATGTGTTATCTCTTGATTCTCCTCTCTCATTGCAGCCCAGGAAGACCGTGTACAGTCTGAAATCCCCGGGTATCCGCCCCGTGCGAACGTCTACCTCTGGCACCCTAAAGGGCCACCCTGTCCCCCTGGAGAGGGATCCCCCACATAAGATCACCTTCCGGAGTATCAATGAGAATGATTCGGAGTCGCTGGTTTCGGTGCCCACCTCTCCGAACACGCCCACTCCCCCACAGTCGGCCACTCCTGACTTTAGCTCAGTTTTCACAGAGCAAGACCAGCTCAGCAACTCCTACGGCGGTGAGTGAAGGCGATGCTTGATCCATAGTTTACAAAGAAAGCTAGTCCAAGTATTGCAGATCCAAGTTAAATTATATACTATGCCCCTACATTCTCCGATAGTTTAGGTTTCAGGTTAATAAATGTTTCTAAATCCTTCTGCCACATGTGACCTTAATCTTCTGTGTTTGAATTTCACAGGTAGTAGCAACTCCATATTTGCTCCAATTCTCCTGTTTACTGGAAGTGAGTGTGAAGTTTTATTTTGATTGCTCCCGATTGTAGTTCTGCATAATTCTGCCAATATAAAAGTAGCCGAGCATGTCAACTTTTTCATCCGTTTTAATCCGTGTTTTCTGTTTTCCTCAGAGTTACAGTCTGCGTCTTGTGGTAGCCTCCACCACCTCGGAGAGGAGCTAAAGCCACCACCTCTGCCGCCTCGAAGGAAAGACACCATGTCGGACACTAAAGTAAGAGCAGTGCGCTGTTTCTGCATCATTATGAGTTTGCAAAGACTTACCTCAGTTCTCTGAAGTCAAGATGATTTAAAGTTAAAGACTTGGAGTCATTTTAAGAGTTTGTTTTGGCATTTAAGATCACTTTAATGGCACCTAGGCATGCTTCTGCAAACGTTTGTGAATGGGTGGATTAAGAATAAAATGTCACTGTTCATATGTATGCAAAGGTAGACGAGTGAATATTTTTAGCAGTGCTTTTCTTTCCCAATTTGAGCTCATTCCTTGCTACAAACTCGTCACCAACATATTTAAAGCCTAGCACTATTTTTTGGCTTCACATTCACACGCTCGCACTCTGATGGATGCGTCGGGGGCAACTCGACGGTAAAATCCGTCACAAAGGCGTATATGCTGCTACACTGAAAACCTAACTGCTGTCGCTTTTGTTTGTAATCAGACTGCTGTAGTCACCTGTAGTTTGCACTAGTAAAATACCCACCAAGTGGTTGATGCTGGGAAGAGAGTAAAAGTTACACTTTTTAAAATGTGTTGGTGTCAGAACAGCTTTTACTTTGAAGGAGACTGTTTGGAGAGTAAAACGATGCGTATTTGACCACAACTCTGCATCTTCCACTCAAACCATGGGCAAGCACGGCAATCGGTTAGGCAATGCCAAGGTTTTTGGTCCAGCACCCTCTATCATCAGCCTCACTCCACAACCACTTGCAGCTGGTGGTTACCAGATGGATGCTAACCGGCTGTGAGGCCTCAAGGAAAGGACTGTAATGCTTACATTGTAAATGAATCCAGATTTTTACCAGCTTTTTCCACATAGTAACTTATAAAAAGCAAAGAAAAAAAAACAGAACTTTGTAAGAAAATAACTTCACATGGCATGAATGCTTTCTGATATCTCAAATCTCTCAGCTCTCTCTGAAGCCCCCTTGTGGGGATGTAGAGCACTGTGTTAGGAATCACTGATGTGCAATAAACAGGGCAGCATGTGTAGTAAGTCTGACACACCTCTTATGTGTTTATGTCTCAGCTGAGCTCCAGGTCTGACAGCCCTCCTGCCATCCCTCCCCGGGTGCCGCCTCCTCTGCACAGGAACCAGCCTCGACCCCCAGTCTACAACGGCCCTCCCACCGATGGCCCCTTGCCCAGCCCTCCACCTCCACCACCACCCCGCGACCCCATCCCAGACACGCCTCCCCCGGTGCCCCAGCGACCCCCGGAGATCTTCATCAACTACCCTGTCAACCAGCCTTCGCCCGTGGGCCGATATACCTGGGATTACGGCAGCTCGCCCAGTTCCCCAAACACGCCACCCAGCACACCGTCCCCTCGCATTGCCAGGCGGGGCTGCTCTCTCAGCGCCAGCCAGAATAGCCTCTGCCCTCTCTCTATTCCCACCTCCGCTCCACCTGTCCCCCCTCGCTACAACTCCAGCCCACACCTCCCTAAACTCCCACCAAAGACATACAAAAGGGAGCCGCTACAGGCGCCAGTACAAAGCCTTTCGCTGGTGGAGAACACCGACAGCAGCCACTGAGCCAACTTTTCCTTCACCACCACCGAAAGGCAAACTTCAAACTTGCTCCTTCAAACTACAACACAGATGACTCAAAGCTACTGATCTGAAAGAAAAACACTGCTCAACATACAAACTCCACCAACCCCCGCTGTGCCTCTCAGGGGGATCGGTAGCTCCACCTCCATCGTTAAAACCCGCCGTGCCAATGAGAAACCCACACCGGTGTGCCAGCTATTAAACACCAAGGAGTGTTTGTCGGCTTGGAGCGTTACCTCCTGCTCCTGATGATAAAAGTTCTCATGTCTCACACACTTCGCTTACCCCACAGCCCCACATCTCCGTCACCGGTCGGGATGGCGGAGAGGAGGGGAGAATGTGGGGACCTTGGATTTTGTAGCTTCAACTGTCGTGCTTTTGTTTTCTTTTGGGCATTGACGTGATTTGGAGTCTTGCAGCTCACAGATGTAGCTCATTCACAGTGGCTGTAAGCAGCAAATGTTTTCATTGATTTGTTTTTCCTAACTGAAAGCAAACAGTTGCCAAAGTCTTATTTTTATGCAGGGGGATAAGGGATTTTTTTTTTAAATAAATGTGACATTAGCAGAAACACCAAGGAGGTGACACTGAATCCCCTTCCCCCCTCACACCTTGTATCTCAGCTGAACACTGTGACTGTAAGAACATGAGTCAATTTTTTTTTTCTTTTTGAAGACGGGCCTCTCCACAGCCACAAAACGTTGCCTTTAAAAATAAATAAATCCAACAGCGTTGACCTCTGACCCCAGGCTCCAGTTCTCTCAGCGCAGTCTTGAAAACGAGAGCTGAGAACACTCCATTTGCACATCAGTTTTGGGCAACGTCAGCAGGTTTTGATTGGACTTACTAAATAAATAAAACATCCGTCTGCGCTGCACGACGGAGGGAAGTCTGCCACGATATCAAACAGCACCTCCAGGTCGAAGTCGAGGACTCCGACATGTCCTCCTGCTCTTCAAAAGCCGATGTCTTAACCGAACCCCTTAAGGATGCGCGCTGCTGTCTGACACTGTGCTCCTCTCCAGAAGCCACCCTCATGGCCAACTCTTCTTCTTTGGTATTAAAACTTAGCACTGGAAGCACGCATCCTCCCACCAAAGCTGGGTCTGCCCACGAGCCGCCGGTGGCTGCTCCAAAGACCTAAAAACAACCACCAATCCATGAAAAAGGAACTTTTTAACCCAGCTTCTTCTTCTTTCTCTTTTTTTTCTTTAATTTGCTTGAAACATTTTGTTTCCCTTTGAAAGACTGAAATAATCCTCGCATCATGCTCAAAATGTGCCTTTTATTTTGTTTTCTACTTCACAGAAATAAGTAAACGGTGTCTAAAATGCTAAAAAAATAAAATAAAAATAAAGTTGCCTATGTAATGTTTAGAACAAAGCTATACACTATGAAATTGTACATGTTTGTGGATACTGTGTGTATATATAACATGTATACACTAACTAAATAATTTGTATAAAGTGACAAGGGGTTTTTTCTGTAGTATTGTACGCTCATCCACATCTGTTCAGTCATATATTGCCTAATAATCCACTGCTGCCACAGTCTGATAAAAAAGAAAAAACTCAGACGCAGGTCAACGTCACTAACTTACTCACAGACAATCTCCAGTTTATTAACTAAGGAAAGCCATTATTTCTTCCCCGCCCCTTAGGTGTTTCAAAGCAATGAAATTACAGTTCAGTATGCCAAGCACTTAACGCGACCTTCACTTTGTACATCCTACTAATTGCCTTTTTTTTTCCTCCTCCAAGACTTTTTAATGGCTACATTCATTAAACAGAGGTTGGAATTGTTTTAAAGTTCCAGTTGAATACATGCAGACGTAAATTCAACTGCAAGTATTGGAGCATAGTGAATAATTTGAATTTTTATTTCCTTTTTTTCTTGTTTTTTCTCCTGAGAAACACACTTTGTGCACTTTAGGCTGTACTGTTGAAGAGCCACAGTTGTTATAGGTCATGTTTGTAAACACAGTGGTCCTATGCAACTGTTAAACCTGCTTTCTACGTGGATCAGGGCAGAACAAACACACGTCTACCGCCTCGCTTTTATCCCCCATGCTGGGTCTGACATGTTCGACCGCCGTGAGCAGAATTGCTTAAAAAAAGAAAAGAGAAAAAAAAAGCCTCACTCGTGCCCTTTTAACTCTTTGCTTTTGCGCTGAAAGTACAGAGCCCCTCTATTCCTCGTGCTTGATGGCGGTGGATAATTCAGTTTTTGATCCAACTAGGGATGAAAGGCGTGCGTAGGAGCATTTCTATAAAGAGTAGAAGTGACTGCACTTGACTGTTTTTGCCCATGTTTTTGTCCCAAGTTTCCCATATCAGGATTGTTGGGGTTCATTTCAGAAGATTTTTTTTTTCCTTTTTAAACCCTCAACAGAACCTTTTTGGTGGCAATGTAACAGCTTGATCCAGCATTTGGTTTATTTGATGGTATGTGGCCTTTTAACTGCTTTGTATTAATGGTCTTGATGAGATTAATAAATCACCCAGTCTTATTTTGTACTGAACTACTCCTTTCTCTTCATTTTGTTCCCTTATATGTAGACAGTGGAAATGAGGCAAATTGTTATTCTGAGCGGGGCACTCTGAAACTGCATCTGTGAGCAGACCGGCAGCAGAGACCCCATCAAAAGATCAATACGTCACTGTCGCATCAGCGATAGAGAAGCTGCTTCATCACTGAGTTGCCCAACTCGTGCAGTGCCCATTCAGAGAGTGTAACTCGTGATTTTTCTGTAGTTAGAATTCACATCACATGCAGGTCAAGTTAAGAGGATACTGGCCACTTTATTAGTTACACCTTGTAGGGCTGCAGCTGTCGACTATTTGAGTAATCAAGTAACTGGATAAGAAATACTTTGGTCTTATTAGTGAGCAATGATAACTATTGAGGGGAAAAAACATTAAAACTTTAAAAACATCGCTTTCCATTTTTAACTCCATACAACTGTCCAGGAAAAGCCCTAAATAATTCCTTTGATCGTGTGCATGCCATATTGAAGTTACATTTTTTTAAATAAAATATCCTAAATGCAAAAATGTATAGTCTCACCGGCCCTCGAGGAGTTCGACACCTGTGATTTAACCAGTGTGGCATGAGACGGCATCATGGGTGGCACAGTGGTTAGCACTGTTGCCTCACAGCAAGAAGGTCCTGAGTTCAATTCCACCATCAGGCTGTGGTTTTCCTGTGTGGAGTTTGCATGTTCTCCCCGTGTTTGCTTTGGTTCTCTCCCAAAAACATGCAGTTAGTGGGGATAGGTTAGCTGGAAATTCATAGGTGTGAATGTGAGTTTGTGTGTATATGTTATCCCTGTGACAGACTGGTGACCTGTCCAGGGTGTACCCTGCCCTTTGCCCTAAGACAGCTGGGATGGGCTCCAGCCCCCCTGAAGAGGATGGATGGTTTGAGACAGTTAAAAGTTTATCTTTTAATAGAACTTACAACAGTATGTACTGTGCACAAAAATAAATGGCTTTCATATTTTATGAGTTTATAACCTTTATTTTTTTTTACAATATTACAAGCAAGAAAATATATACTCTTCTGTGTTGAATTGAATGTCCTGTGAGCAGTGCCTGCATCTGTTCACTCGATTTTTGTCTTACCGTTCCAGTTTTCTAAAGTTCAACAGGAAAGGTGGCTGGTCTCAGGTCAGTAAATGTCTCTTAAAGATGTGATTGTAAGGGACGCAGTAAGTTCTGCTACGCTGGTAGGACGCCACGCGTTAAAGTCAACTGTCCTGTTTCTGGAAACCATCAGGAAGCCGTTGGAGCTGAAACGTCCGGGGATGTTTCCCACGTCGAGCCAGACAAAAGGAGCCACGGAGTCAGAGTGGAGGGTCACTGAGAAGCATGTCTTTTTTTCTTCTACCTTCGCCTGTGTGGAAGGACACATCAGTCTTTAGTGACTTATGGAATAACTTAAATATATAACTATATATAGCTATACGTATATAGCTGGATAGCGTAGTAGTTAGACTACACACCTTTGGAGCAGAGGATCGCATGTTCAATTCCCACCTGGGGTGTCTGTATCCAGTATCCTTACAGCTAAAGATTGATGAGGTACAACATAAATGCTACGGCAAGGGGAAGCCAGGATGCCAGGTCAGGGGGGAGATATCATTACCCCCACCTGAGATTAGGCCCCAAGTGCGATAGGAAGAGGAATCATGAAAGATAGGATTATGGCCAAGTACCAGAAGGTCTCTAGGCTTCTGTGAGGCTAAGCTGGATACAAGAAAAGAGTAGTCGATATATAGAACAAAGAGAGGAAAGGTAGTTCAACCATGAAGAGGCTGCTAGGAAAGCAGGCAAGTTGTGAGGAACAAGATCGCAAGATAGCTGGCCAAAGTAGGAGCTAAAAGCCACTGACATCAAGACCTATGACTAAATGGCTAGTCACATTGGTATGTGGAACCGGAGCTGAAATGCTGTTGTTGAAGCTGAGAGTTCTGAGTAAAAATCAGTGCTTACTGTAATGTTGGGTCTGCCGAGTCCTTGAGCATCTTTGGGTGAGCAGAGGAAGTGGTGGTTAGTGGGACCCTGCTGGCTGCTGTCGTCCTCCAGTTGGAAGGTGAGCAGGCAGGTAAGACGGGTACAGTTTCCGCATCCTGCTAACAGGGTGGCGACGGGCTGTTTGAAGACCACCACAGCGCTACCTCCAGGCACGAGCAGCATGCTTGAGTTTAGCGTGCAGACTGGATCCAGCTCAGTCCAGGAGAACACATTCACCTGATGCACAAAAGTATGACAACATTAACAATTTAAATTTACTGTTCAACCTACCTAAAAGCATTTAGACTTGAGAAAATAATCCTGTTTTTATCAATAGAAACTGAGAGTCACCCTCATTTTACCATGAAGCATAACAGCAGCTAAAACTTTGATTTTTTTAAGATATTCACCAATGAAAACAGACAAATAATAAATTATTCTGGCTCCTAAAGCCTACCACAGCCCTCAGCTTCAGGTCACGGCTCAGGTCTGAAATGGCGTAGATGACCAGTGTGTCGTCTTCCTCAAAAGCAACAGGAAAGACGGCTGCAAAGAAGCTCTGTGCAAAATAATGCAGCATTTTCCACTTCCCACCAAACTCTGTGCAAACAGATACACAAAGATGACTATGTAAGTATTTTAGAAAACAACCTCCACGTTAAAATGGTCAAACTACCAAAGCTAAGAACACAAAGTTCTGAAGCAGTCTACACAAACAATTTGTCTTGCCACTCACCAATCGACGACCAGGAAGGCGCCTGCCAAATATCATTGAGCTGCCAGTACAGCGCACCCATGGTGTGACCTTTGCCCTCTATAATTTCACTCCGACTCCTCCGATAAAACTCCGTCTGAGTCTTCACACACTGGGCCTGCATGACCTGGACATACAGCACAGTCAGCAAAATGTGTGACAACATTAACAGAGCTGAGCGGCTTAAAAAAGAACATTATTTTATGCTTTTTTGTCAGCGACTCTTGCGTTTGTAACTTGGGATACAGACAAATTAGCTTCGGCTGTTTTGTTGGACTGCATGTGGAGGAGCTCATTCAATAAGCAACATATGTTCTAGTGCACACAACAAGACGCCCTCAGCCTGAGGTTCCTAGATGACCGATGGTTTTTGTACCAGATCTTGGAAGATGTTGCTGAAAATCAGTTCTGCATTCAGTTACATCCACCTGCACCACCCAAATGGAACATTGAGGTTCAAGAGGTCCCTCAAGCAAATCTCCACGACAGCTTCTCCTCGACTCAGGTTGGTTTTCTTTCACTTACAGTCTAAATACCACCTTAAAAGTATCACACACATGGACGGTTTGCATCTCACCTGAGTGATGTAGAGAGTATCTGTAAATCTTTTCAGGGGATCAGTGGCGTTTGGCAGGTGGAAGTGTAGAGCAGCCTGCAGGATCATCTGCTGGTTTCCGTCTTCGTGGTGTTGACGATGGGAAGTGAAATTACTGCCGTAGCTCCAGTCTTCTTTAATGGAAACCTGCAGCATCATAAAAGGAAAACACAAACAGTCAGCAACTTTCATCCATGTTTGCTTCTTTCTTTATAATATTTAGTTACCGGCTGCAAAGTGGAAAAGGACGGCCAGGACTGGAAACCATATTCAGAGGCAAAACGCGTCCGTGGGAAGGTCCTCCAGTCCCAGCAGTCGAGGATGTAGCTGTAGAAGTGAACGTCTCCGTAGTGAGGATCGTAGGGATTCTCCGCCACCCATCCCTCCTGCTCCGATTCAGCCCCGTTCGTTGGACTGGAGACAAGAAACGGGCGACTCTGGTCCTCCTAAAGGAGATGGGACTTTTGTTTCTACCGATTTGCAGGAGTAATACTGAAAATACATTGCTGGGAAAGTGTATTGCTCCAGTTCCTGATAATTAAATCAATTTTTAAAAAAAAAACAAAAAACCACAAAAACCTGCTTTTTGTATTTACTCGATTATCTTTGTTGAAACATGCAAGTGTGACAAATATGTAAAAAACTAATCAATCTGGACGGGAAAAACACTTTGGCAGTACCGTAAATTACAATACAGATAAATCAGTCATTTAAAACACAGATCCTTACATTAAGTGTGACATAATCAGACTCTCACCTCTTGCACAAGCTTCTTTATGTTATCTACATAAAGCATCACATAGTCTCTGATGTATTTTGGCCTTTGAGAAGCTGGGATGTTGAACCAATCTGTTGCCAGAGCAGCTTCGTTTTCATTGTTACCGCTCCAAATTATTATAGAGGGGTGGGACTTCAGGCGCTGAACCTGAGCAGTAAAAATAAAATAAGAGAAAGAAATAAAGGGAAACATCACTTCAAGCTTCTTTAGGATTTTAAATCTCCTCTCGGAGCCTTTCGAGAGAAACTGTGCGTTTGGTGTGTTTATCCAGTATTTTACACCTTCAGGAAATAAGAAAAATCACATCCGTATATCAACTGACCTGCTGGACGACCTCTTCTCTTACTGTCTGTATAAAGTCGGTCTCAGTGGGATACATTGCACAAGCGAACATGAAGTCCTGCCAAACCTAAAGACGTGTTTAAACACAGTGAGCAAACCATCTGTTTACAATATGTTCAGTGATGTCACACAACCAAAGTCATGTAAAAATACCACAGACTGTTACATACATGTGCAAGAGCACAACAACTGGCATAAAGCTGGATGTCATATTACACAAAGCAGTGCACAGTCTGTCAATAAAGGTTTACATTTCAGGTAAACAAAAAAATGTTTTAGTCCTTATCAGGTCTTAAAATGACTACAACATCTACTCAATCAGTAGTTTATAGAACCGCCTTTAACTGACTTTATTTATCTCTCATTGGTTCAGTTCATTGAGCTTTTGGGGGCATTTGTTTTTATGCACAGCTCTTTTAACACCCTGCCACAGCATTTCAGTCAGCCTGAGGTCTGGACTTTGACTGGGTCACCACAACGTGATCATCATTCATTCTGATCATCATCCCATTGCCCCAAACGTTAGGTGTCAGACAGATGG